GCATGTATGTGGCTGCTTAGAAGAAGCATGATGTCCCACGATAATAATCATATACTGTTTTTGTGTGTTGGCGCTGGTGTGGTGCCCTCGCTCTTTGTGTATCCCTGTTTGTTACCTGCCTATGCAGCTTACGCCGTCCCATTAGTGAACTTGCCCATTTTTGTTGTTGTTTTTGCTCTGTAGGTTGCTGTGGGACACCCGCCGGTGGTGTGTTGAGTTCCCTGCCTTTTCTCTTCCCACTCTCTGCTGTTGCCACTGCCGATGACATTATCGTCTCTTTGCCGCGTACAGGTTTTAGGTTGGTGCCGTTTCTTTTAGAGCAATTGCCATGGATTCAATTGATCAATTTCTGGAGACTGTCAGCAAGGGCGCCTGTCCTCGGGAGTCGGAGGTGAAGAAGTTATGCAACGTCGCTCGCACCATTCTTGACGCAGAGTCCAATACTCACACGATACGCGCTCCATGCACCATTGTTGGCGACATTCACGCTCAGTTTTTTGACCTTCTTGAGATGTTTCGTGTGGGCGGAGACGTCCCTGATGTGAACTACGTCTTCATGGGCGATTACGTTGACCGTGGGCATCATGGCGTAGAGACATTCCTTCTGCTGGTTGCCCTCAAAGTGAAGTACCCCAATCGCGTTGCACTTCTTCGCGGCAACCACGAGTCGCGTCAGATCACACAGGTGTACGGCTTCTATGATGAATGCCTTCGAAAGTACGGCAGCGTTAACGTGTGGCGCTACTGCACAGAGGTGTTTGACCTTTTGCCGCTTGTGTGCGTGGTGGAGGAGAAGATTCTGTGCGTCCACGCGGGTCTCTCGCCCATGATCTCCACAATGAGCCAAATTGATGCCATCGAGCGCCGGTGCGAGGTGCCTCACGAAGGCGCCATGTGTGATCTTCTGTGGTCTGACCCGGACGAAATTGATGCCTGGGGCCTCTCTCCGCGCGGCGCCGGTTACCTGTACGGCGAAGAAGTTGTGCGCACGTTCCTCGAAGAGAACAGGCTGGAGCTCCTGTGCCGCTCGCACCAGCTTGTGATGGAGGGCTACCGGGTGATGTTCAACGACACGCTTGTGACGGTGTGGTCTGCCCCGAATTACTGCTACCGCTGCATGAATGTGGCGTCCATACTGGAGCTGGACGAACATCTCAACAAGAACTTTAAGCTCTTCGAGGCGGCCCCAGATGAGGTGTACGAGCCAGCGAAGGCCGCCTTACCAGAATACTTCCTGTAGAGAGCACGGGATGCGTTGTTGCGGCACGGGTGTATACGTATATCAAATAGGCATGCATCGGTAATGTCTGCGTCCTGCGCGTTTTCCTAGTCGTTGAGGCTCAACAGAGATCGGTTGCCGGGTGCCGTTATCTCTGCTTTCGTTGCTGACACGCACTGTCCCGTCCCCTTCCGGCGTTGGCCTCACACTTTGCCCGTATGCCCTGCCGCATGCGCCCCAGCGCCATCTTGCACTATCGGGGACGCTAAAAGGGGGCGAACGCAAGCGCATGCACATGCATAGGGGAAGGCGGGGTGTGCTCAGGGCGGCGGGAAGGAGGCGAGTGGGGGCCGGGGGAACGGGGAAGTGCATGCAATGTCGTGGCTGAGTGCAGGGATGCCTTGCTGCTTGTGAGTGGGAAAGGGGATCGTCAGTGTGCAGGGTGGCGGAGGAAGCAACCAGAGAAAAAGAGGGAGGGGACTGCAGAAGCAAAGGAAAGGCAATATGTTTCTGAGGCGGCAATTGCGGCGTCGTTCTGACGGCGGTACTGTTCTTTTTCCGTCTTTTTCTCCATCAGCGTCTCTGAGTGCGTGGAGCAAAGTCACCGAAGGGCCCTCGGCGCCGCCCCCACCTGCACATTCCGCCTGCAGAGGGGGTCCTGTGGCCCCCGGTTGGTGGGGACGCGTTGTCCTCTTCTCGTTGCCCAAGTGCCACTTTTCTTTGCGTTCCTCCTGCTTCTTCCCTTTAAAAAGTTTTTTTAGGGCAGTCACACTATGAAAAAGGTGCGGGTCCAAGAGGCGCATATTAATAAGTGCATGTATGTGGCTGCTTAGAAGAAGCATGATGTCCCACGATAATAATCATATACTGTTTTTGTGTGTTGGCGCTGGTGTGGTGCCCTCGCTCTTTGTGTATCCCTGTTTGTTACCTGCCTATGCAGCTTACGCCGTCCCATTAGTGAACTTGCCCATTTTTGTTGTTGTTTTTGCTCTGTAGGTTGCTGTGGGACACCCGCCGGTGGTGTGTTGAGTTCCCTGCCTTTTCTCTTCCCACTCTCTGCTGTTGCCACTGCCGATGACATTATCGTCTCTTTGCCGCGTACAGGTTTTAGGTTGGTGCCGTTTCTTTTAGAGCAATTGCCATGGATTCAATTGATCAATTTCTGGAGACTGTCAGCAAGGGCGCCTGTCCTCGGGAGTCGGAGGTGAAGAAGTTATGCAACGTCGCTCGCACCATTCTTGACGCAGAGTCCAATACTCACACGATACGCGCTCCAT